TCTTAATTGTGTGGTTAATTATTGGGTAATGGAACATTACCTAGCAAATTAATAATTGTGGCTGATTTATTAAAGTATTTTGATAAGTACCTAATGACCTAACGTGGCAGCCATGCTTTGAAGGAAGGGTGACTATTTTGGTCTTGAAATTAGGTGGCAATACTAGATTAAGACTAAAATATGTGGCCATATACATCACCATATGAACGAGCAAGCCACCAAACGAAAAAGGGCTAATTCGTTATAGTTTCCTTTTCATTGCTGCGTCTGGTAAAGTCTATGAGACAATTTTCACCTTATCCTACCATTCTTTCAAGAATTTTATGTTTCCTTCTTTCATGTTTATTTTCTATTTTATTCCTTTTAGACAATAAAATAGCATTACGTCAAAGTCTTGCACACAAGACATTGTTATTCAAAACAATTAAAGCAGAAGCGAGATTAAGTTTAAAAAGAAAGCTTCATAGATCAAAAGCAGTATTTCGTTCATATTTCGTAGAAGCAGAAGATTCATTTCGTTCAATAATTCAAGGAACAGGTATGTTAAGGCTATCCCTTCTTTCTCTTGGCATGATCCATACGATATAAACGAAACGTGCAAATGCACAAACTCTATAAGTGACTCTACTCATAAAAGTAATATAAACATTTATGTTCTTTAATTACCATGTGTCAAAATATTTTATCATTTGTTCGTGGGTTTCAGAAAAATACGAAAGTTAAAAAGATGTTACTTTATGATATTGCTCAAGAGGCAAAGTGGTCTTATGACCTTCCGAATGATTTTATTGACGTACTTTCCATGCATTGCATTCATGTGCATTGACCCATGACCATATGGCGTTATATACGCGTATAAATGTAAATAAATTTATATGGAATATGGGAAAAGGTTATGGCGTTATATACACACCACCATCTGATCAGCTGGTATATGATGATGATGTTGCCCATAGTGGCCGAAATATGATTCAAACGGCGTTATATATGCATATATATGTATATATGATTCAAACGGCGTTATATACGCGTATATGTATGTATATATGTATATGTGATATGGGAAAGGTTATGGCATTATATACGCACCACCACCGATCAGCTGGTATACGATGATGATTTTGCCCGTAGTGGCCGATATGATATGATGGGATGCCCTCAGAGGCTGATGATGTTATGAAACATGTACCTATGCACAACATGACATTCATACGCATAGGCATGATGCTAAAATAATTTATGATTTACAAAGTTATTCAGACTTACAAGTTGAGTCATATACTCTATATATCTTCCATGTCTCTTATGTATTTATTTATGTGCCTTACATACTCAGTACATTATTCGTACTAACGTCTCTTTTGCCTGGGGACGTTGCGTTTCATGCCCGCAGTCCCGATAGACAGGTCGAGAGCCCTCCATGTAGGCTATCAACTCAGCGAAAGATGTTGGTGCGCTCCATTTGCTTTGGAGTTGCTTGTTTGGTTAGTATGAGTTAGACGTATATTGTTTGGTACGGCGGGACTCTATCTCGAACTTTATGGTATTTGCGTATTCTTAGAGGCTTGTAGACATATGTCGTGTACGTGAAAGATTGTACGGCCTTGTCGGCCTATATTTTGAGTTTATAAATGATTATGTTGGCCTATTAGGCCTGTATGTCACGTGTATATGATGATGTAATAAGAAAGATGCGTTACGTTGGTATTCGGTTGAGTAAGGTACCGGGTGCCCGTCGCGGCCCATCGGTTTGGGTCGTGACAAATGTACTATTCTAGTTAAATAGTTCAACATATAGAGACAATATGCATCTAATTTTACTAAATCAAAAACTTGCATATAGAGAAGATATGAGTAAAATATCAAATAATCATCCTGCAGTTTCATATAAAGAAGATATGCATGAAATGTTAAGTGATTCTTCAACAGTTGCATATAGTGTAGATCTGCATGATTAGAAAAGTCATGTTGCATAGCTTGGCTTATAGAGAAGATATGTACTTGAATCAATTGTTAAATCATATGACATATAGAGAATATATGCTTAAAAAGGCATATACATTTAAGAACTAGCATATAGAGAAGATACACAGTTAAAGAATCATGTATACACTCAAGAAATTTGTTGTAATGACACGGCCGGTCGTTTGGTATATTTAACCCTGTTCCCCTATTTAATACTTCTTGTATGTGTATTTGTTATTATATGACTATGAGGATGTTTGGTTTGGGAGGGTTTTGGAGTGAATTGGAACACTTAGTTCTATGGTTGGAGGCTTAACTAGTAAGAGTTAACCAAATTTTGTGAATACGACCCCTAAGTGGTATTTTGATGGTTCCAATAGGTTCTTATGATGATTTTGGACATAGGAGTTTGTCCAGATTTGGATTTGGAAGTTCCTAGGTTGATTTTGTTCTATTTGTCGAAAGTTGTCAATTTGAAAGTTTGGAAGGTTCACAGCGCTGACTGGGAGTTGACTTTGGTGCTATCCGGTTTGGAATTTGGTTTCGGTAGTTGAAATAGGTTGGTTTTTCCATTTGGAACTTATGTACAAAATTTGAGGTCATTCCAAGTTGATTAGATGTGATTCGGCATGAGTTTTGAAAAGTTGGAAGTCAATTAGTTCCATAAGATTGAATCAAGGTGCGATGCATGGTTTTGATGTTATTTTGTGTAATTTGAGACCCCTATTAGGTCTGTGTTGTTTTTTGGACCTTTTGGTATGCTCGGGTGGGGTCCCAAGGGCCTCATGTGGGTTTTGGACCACCCAGAAGGTGGTCGAGCATAGCTGGTTGGTGGTAGATTTGGTGCAACCGCACCTATGAAGAAGAGGTGTGCAGGTGCAAAGCCACACCTGCAGGATTATGTGCGCAGAAGCGAATGAGGATTATTGAGGGGCAAAGTCCGCAAATGCAGAATATTAGCGCAGATGCAATGGCGTATATGTGAGGCCTTGACTGAAAAGCAGTTCTGCTAAAACAGAAGTTTGGACGCAGGTGTGGCTGGTCGGGAAGTTAAGTGAACTCGTAGAAGCAAGACATTCCCTGCAGAAGTGGAGCCGCAGAAGCGCAATTTGGTATGCAAAAGCGGAAATCTCTTGGGCAGAATATTTATTTCGAGGGTTTGGTTTATTTTTCATTTGTTTTGGAGCTCGTCTAGGGGCGATTGTTTGAGAGGTATTCACTGCAATTTGAAGGGTAAGTATCCTTTACTTGATTTTAATTTTAGATCTTGTTTCCCCGTGGATTATTAAACCTAGACCATGTGATCTATAGGAGAAATTTAGGGTATTTTCTCTATGGTTTTTTGAGAGTGAAAATTTGGTGATTTGGGGGTCGATTTGAGGTCACATTTGGATAAAACACATATATTTAGACTCGTATTCGAATAAATATTCGGGATTAATGAGTTTTGTGTCTTGTTCTGGGGTACGAGCCCGTAGTTGAATTTTTGGTTGACTTTGCGTGTTTGTGTAAAGATCAAAGCTTTCTTATTTGGGGTTATTTTCTATGACCTTTATTGATATTGTTAAGTTATTTTGACTAGATTCGAGCCGTTTGAAGGTTGATTCGCGCAAGAAGGAATTTCTAGAGTATTGATTTTGATTGTTTGAGGTAAGTATCATACCTAAACTTGGTTGAGGCACTAGTTGCGTAAGTTATTATTGAGGATACGTGCTATGGGTGATGCACATGTGAGGGGTTGAGCCCATGTGCGTACACCAAGGTTTTATCCATGCTCAGGGTAGTGCTTAGTCTATGTTATGCTTTGAATTTATTGCTAAGCTTCATGTTATCACGCTTCTTATGTTTTACCCCCTTTGTGAGTTAATTGAATCAAGTTAGAGGCTATTCGTTGGTTAAACTCTTGCTCAAACATGTTAATTGTTACTTTTGTGGAGCAATCGCCTATTTTGAACTATGGTAGTACACTTTGCACATGCCTACACCTTTAGCATGTCACTTATATAAGTTCATGAATATGTAATTTGATATCCATTGTTCATGTACATGTATTTTTGCATATGCTTTCTGTGTGATATGGACTGAGTTGATAGCACGCGAGTGGTCCGTCCAGATCTGAGTTATGATAGCATGTGAATGATCCGTGCGGTTGTTATATATGTCATGTGAGTTGTCTGTGCAACGTGTGGATAAGGATACATCCCCCTAGGGCCACCGTCTCATGTTTTTCTCTTGATGGTGTAAACGCTGTTGCACCCTATTTTCCACATATCAAAACAAGATTAAACTAGTGGTTTCTCTGTCGTTGATAAAAGCGAGTCTCCACCTAATATTTTAAGGTATACTAAGGGTTTCTATATTTATTATATTATTATCCTATTGGTCTACTAGCCGGTGAGATTTGGGCAATGGTTCTTATTTTTCTAGGGAAAGGTGTTAGGCATCCCCTAAAATCGAACTGAGGTAGCTCCTGAGAACTTAGGCTAGGTTTAGAGAAGTGAAGTCTGTATTCTACTTGATTAATACTTAAGGTCTGAAACTATTCTAAGTCTTGTTTAAAGTCAACTTATTTTTATAGAAAGTGGTAAATGCACTTTGAAAAGAGGGCATAGGTTTTATAAAGTTTTGTAATTTATAAAAAAAGTCTTTTGAAAAATGATGTATCTATAAAGTTGGGAAAGACTTGTAAAATATGGCCATGTTTTGAATATTTTGTAAATACTTTGGCTAAGTTATGTAATATAGTGGAACAAAGGATACTAGGAAATGCATTACGGACTTTTGAAATTAAGTTCCCATTGAAGCCATATTTTTTTTGGAAATATCATTTAAGTTACATGTTCGCAATTAGTAGCTATGTTGATTTTTACATGTTTAAAAACAGCCTTATAAACATCCTTTCAGTTCTAATTCATTCGTAAAAATATTGTTTATTTCTCAAATCTGTCCAAACTCAAAAGGATGTACAGAAATGGTTAGGGATAATCAAAACGGAGTCTTTTATTTATTAAGAATAAATGATTGAAATACTTAAGTGAATATGACAGATAAGCTCAGATTCTTTCTTTATGTACCAATGGCTTTGGTTTGCCTATTTCCTAAAATAATAAAAAACATAACAGAAATATTTCAGTAACAACGTTAGTATCACATATATATATAGAGAATAAACAACATTCTTCATTTATCTAAGAGCGAGAAAGGAAAGGGAACTTGACTCGAAATTGGACCAAGGGAAATGCAGGCCCAGCAGACTTGAAGCAGCGACAGACTTCGAAAAGAGTATCCTAAGTTGGACTTGGGCCTGAGTTCTAAAGAACTCAGCAGGACCAATTCAATCATACATACAAAATATGATAAAGACCATTAGTGAAATCAATTTGAGGCCCAACAAGATAATATAACAAAGAGTAAACAAGATTGAAGAACACAATGAAACTATCTTCATTTGTACTAATCCTAAAGAGATTAATAAGAGTTGGTGATTACAGGGTTAGGGATAATCATTATTCATGGGCAAGACACTCTTTGGATCTGTGGCACTTCAGAATTCACAAAGATCTCAAAGACCCCAAGCAGTGCTTGTGTCAGAGAGGGCATCTTAACCACAAATTAGGTCCTACCCCAAATACCCCTAATCACTCGCACTCAGTCTTTCCCAAAGGTTTAGCTACAAATGAGGTATTCACTTTAATAATCAATATGGTAGCAATCGTAAGCATAAAGTTTAGACATACAAAATTGCAACAGAAGCTATACAGAACACTATCATCAAGGTACAAGGTTATGAACTGTACAAGATTACATTACTAACTTTAGGATCATAATCCAAACACAAGAATGTAAGTTGCCGCAAGTATTTACAATGTCCAGGGACATTCAACATTCATTTATAACACGTATTAGAACATTTAAGGATATAAATCATCAGACGCAGAAATGGAGAGTTCATGGCAACCATCAGCAAACTAATCCAAGTTAAAAACGATAAGTTGGGTGATCCAAGGGGTAGGGAAAACACACATATTAACTTCTTTAGTTCTATTGGCAGGTTTAAACTTTCAAGCATCCTTAACTATGTTTACAACACTCCAACGATCATTCACATGATCTCCAGAACAATAAGAAACAGACGTACTTATAGTTGAGGCCTCACTATACTAATGTTGATACCCAATTTTTCCCTCACATATTTCAAATATGCATATACACCTTCAAAATAATGCATGAGCATCACCAAGTACTTTTCCATAATTTTTTATAATTTTTAAAGACTTTTAATCAATTTATTCCTGCATTTTTATATAAATAAATATTAATTACATCACAAATAATTTTATTATAATTTATTATCTAATTTGCATCATTTATATCCATATTAAGCTTTAAATATATTTATTTTTTGCATCCTTAGGCTAAAATTGCATATTTTGCAATAATAGCCTATATATATGCATAATTACATTATTTACATAAAAATGACTTTTTATATTTTTATAATATTAAGTAATTATTTTAAATCATTTTTATGCACAAGTGATATTTTTGTTATTTTATTAATTATTTTTTATAAATTATTTACTGATTTAATTGGGTAGATAAAATCTAGCCCTAAATTACTCCTATTTTCGGACTTAAAACTACCCAATACACAAGCCCAACACCTTTACACCAGCCCAATATCTCCTGAGCCTAAACCAAACAACCTCTTATTAAAACACGGTCAGTACCTATTTTATATGACCCGCCCCGTTTACCTTTAATCCTAACCGTTGATCTCTCAAGATCAATGGCTCCCGTTCACTCTTACCTTTTTAATTAACCACTCCTAACCCTAATTCCCCCATTTCTCTATCATCCGCCATCCTTAAACTCCTAAACGCTCTCTTCCTCTTTTGAAACCCTAGCGCCGTAATCCCGTTTTGCCCTTCGATTCCAACTCAGAGATGGAATCCACAGACAATTTTCTTACCTTATTGGTCGTCTCCTATTACTGGTTAACCGATTATGGTATTACATAATCACTTACCTAACAAGGCAAGTGGATCTCTCTTGCTTTGAACCAAATCTAGTTCGAACCTTCACTTTTTTTCATCTATGTTCATTCTTCATCTCTTTACGGAATGAATCTCTGAGATTCTTTTAATTCTGGTTTACCCTTAAAATTAGGGTTCAAATCTTTAAGACCTGTTTAATTTTTGTTCTTATTGTTGTTAAAATCGCACCGCATGTCTATTTTCTTTGCGATTTTTTCATTAAAAGTTGTCTAATTTATTTTCCCTAAAACTAGGGCTCAAATATTTAAGATATGTTCTTGTTCCATTTATGGTTGAATATCTTCTTAAAAATTCTATACAATCTCCTGTGGTTTCCGTACTAGTTTTTTACTTACTCTAAAATTAGGGCTCAAATCTTTTAAAATCTGTCCTAGTTCTATTTTTGTTGAGTATCTCCTTTAATGTTCCTTTATGTTCGTCTATATGCACTCTATTGCGATTTTGGTAAATTTGCTGACCAGCTTATTTGCCCTAAAATTAGGGCTCAGACCTGTTATGATTCTTATTTTTTGTTCAATACTTTCCTATAGCTGTCTATATGCATGTTATATTCCTTCGATTATTCTGGCTAATTTTATTTACCCTAAAATTAGGGTTCCGATTCTTATTTCACTTTTCTTACTGATTCTGTCTATTTGTTCTCGCCTTAATTATTACATGAGAATCTTTGATTCCTAGACTGGTGTAATTACTATCACACACGTCTATGTACTATTATCTCTGACTTACCTTTATAATGTGTTGAGTTTTTCCTTAAATATGCTGATTGATTATTCCCATGTTTATGTACCCTAGTTTAGTGCTATATAAACCCCTCTCCTTTCCCCTTTACGACAGACTTGAACTCTCACACTCTCACTAAAAAAAACTTAAGCTCTCTTATTCTGATTCTGTGCTAATTGTCTCTGGTTTTGGCTGACTGAAAGCCAAGGCTAAGTTATTCTGGAATTTAACTGCTGTGGCATATTTACTTGCTTTCTTACTTAATTGGTATGATATAGTCCTTTGCAATCTCATTCTCCATGCTTTTCTTGACTAGAATATTTTAATTTCAAGTATGATTCTGTCATTTTTATGTGATTCTATGATCTCATCTAGTCTTATGAGTGACACTGTTGACTTAGGATTAAGCTATTTTGAATAATACGAATCCTCTTATAAGTTAGCCTAATGTCTAAATTTGTTTCATACACTACTTGTTAATCTTACACTTGTTCTAAACTCAGTATCCCTATAATACTATTAGCATGAAATTGGTTCATTAATACCAACTCTACATATTTTTGTATGGTTGCTTACTTCGTGTGTCTGGACAACTTAACTGTTTTGCCTAATTACTTCTGTGATTAAACAATGATTGTCTTAGGTACTAGCATGAATGTTTAGCTTAACTAGACCTCTAACTTACTTGAACTATGAGTTTGAGCATAACCTTGTTTGGTGCAGTTCTGCCAACAACTCTATGTCCTAAATCTTGTTTCTTCTGAAATCAAACTGTTTTAGAAACCTGCCCTTACCTCTTTTTTCTGCACTGATTTACTCCACTCTTAGACCTTAGGTTCTCAACCACCCTAGTATGGGCACTGCTCAGGGTCCACATGAGACTCCTGTGAACTCTGACACATTAGAGACTGGTTTTCCAATTTCTTATGAGCTATCTTCTGAATGTATGGTTCTGGTGTGAGCATTCCCCTGGGTCCCTGAGGCCCTTGGGAAATTTGACACGCTAGAAACCTGGTGCTAATGTGCCATGGATGAATCACTATGCTGTGCCTCAAAGTTGTTATGATTGGAAGGCCTGGTTCCCCGGTTATTTGGGCCTAATAAAGGCTCCCTATAGTATCTTATTACTATTGTGTAATTCATTTGCTATTCTAGTTTGTAATAACTTTGTAATAACATATTCTGAGGATATTTAGTAAAGCTGGGGGGTTTTCTTATTTCCTTTTGCTAAACTAGGTAGAAATCCTGCCTATAGGATCTAGTTATACTGTCAATTCTATTCATTTGGGTAAAACTGTATGAGTTATATACTGTGCTTAGAAATCCTGTCTATAGGATTTTCATTGATGCTGTTAATTTTGTGCTTGCATATTAGAAGTCCTGCTTATAGGGTTGATAATGAAATGCATATTAGAAATCCTGCTCATAGGGTCTATCAATCCAACAAATGTGAATTAGCAATCATGCTTATAGGACCTCGATGTTTGATTTGATCAATCTTCTGGCAATCTGCATAATTTCTGCCTATACATAACTCGTAGAAATCATGCCTATAGGATGAAAATCAGTCTAGAAATCATGCCTATAGGATTTAAATCAATTCAGTAGAAGATACCATACTTATAGGACTAAAACCACTTTCAAACCTAGAAATCATGCCTATAGGACTCAAGTGAGTACGACAGTTAGAGATCATGCCTATAGGATTAAAAGGAAATATAACCAATCTCTGTAAGTTAAAGTTAGTGCTACACCTAGAAATCATGTCTATAGGTATGTAATCATCAAACTCGTAGAAATCATGCTTATAGGATTCTATCAATTGATTATAAATACAATCGCCCTTGGCAATCACTTAGGCAATATACTTATAGGATTTAATAATCCTGGATTTATAATTGTGATGTAGAACTGCCTGAACTGCCCAGACCACGCTGAATAAAATCAGTAGGCAAACAACAGGTTTTAACACTCGCCTTAATAAAATTGCCTCTGCACTCTGTTTTCTCGTATAGACATCCTGCCTATAGGATTTTAAGGTTAATAAGGTTTGTTGAATCAATTGCGTGCTTTTGTTGTTTATATGTGGAGGTCAATATGAGCCTATATCTGTTTGCTATCTGAAAGTCCTAATTGTTTTTGATTGTCTACTAGGCTTTTACATTTTTGAGCAACGTATGCTGGGTCTAGAACTATCCCAAATAGAGGTCCTAATACCTCCAGGGCCATAGGTAAGGGACGGGTAGTGCACACATAGGAATCGAACTAGAATCAATTAGAGCGCTTTAGGTAACAACTTAAAGATAGTAATCGGGTAGCAGATAAAGATAGTTTGTTTCCGCTGAATCATATGAGTAACACCCCAACTCGAGAGAGTTACGAAGTATTATTTATATTGCACGGGGTGATCCTTTAGGATAAAAAATTTAGGACCCCCATCCCTATTAATATTCCTCTCACTTTTTTAGACTAATTCACAAGTTAAGTTCGGCTGGGACCCACCGTTGTGTACCTCGAGGGGTGCCTAACACCTTTCCCTCAAGGTAATTTCGAGCCTTTACTCGATCTCTGGTGATATAAACTAGTAACATGAGTTATCTGCTTTAGGTGCCCTAACGCACCTTAATCCGTTAGGTGGCGACTCTTTCAATTCTAATTCCCTACCCTCTCAAAAGGAGTTGTCTCATAAATATCGAAACCCGATTTCACGAGAAAAGGGGAGTGCAACACTAAATACCTATACTAACAGGCCTGATTAGATTCCTTAGAGATAACAACAAACAGTAGAGGCACCCAACATGATTCTTAGCCTATTAGATAAAGCTATTTCAAACTTAACAACATGATTCTTAGCCTATTAGATTCTCAATCAACATCCAAATTCACAACTAAGTCTTTTAAGAGCCAAGGATATCAAACAAGCATGAGGGCAGTGTTCATTAAAAAAGGTAAACAAGTTTCAGTGAGTTTCCTTAAGCCTATGAGTGACAACAATAACATTTCAAATATTCACATAGTTCAAGCTTATATTAAACAAGGTTTAACTTCTTATTCTATAAAGCAGTTTTAAATGGAAATTATAATGGTTTAGACATGAATCCTTCTTAAAAGAGCAAAGAAGAAGTTCATGAGTTTAACCGAGTAAACATACAAGTATGAGAGTTAACAGAAGATACTCAAACCTATACACAATGATGTTTCCAAAGCGTTACAAGAATACATAACATATCATGGGGGCAGATAACCTAATAACTAAACTAATGAATTTATTTACAAAAGTTCAGATCATGTAAGCTTTAAAATATGCACAACAGACATGGTTTTAACAACCTATTGCTCAGTCAAACATGTTAGTTAAGTGTGTGGCATGGATACAATAATAGAGATCATTTTTAAACATATTAACTAATGGTATACTATTAATAATCTAAGAACCAATATAGCACAGTTGTAACAGACCTCAACCCTCGTTAGAACATCAAAAAATGTCTAAGAACACAACTTGATCAAGCTAACTAAACATGGTATTACATTTAACAAGCACACATAGAATCATCAGAAGACCCTTTAATAATGACAAAGGCTAAGCAGAATTCAGATCATTCACTATAACAACTATCTGTCCAGTTAAGTCATAAGGTTCATTAACATAGATTAACTAGCCATACTAGAACAAACACAAAATATCAGGAAATAATTAACTCAAACATTAGGGATAACATATGCAAGAAGAAAATAATAATCAATTACAAACTACTAACATATATCACGAACAAAAGATAATCAACAGAAGAAGACATGGTAAGCATAAAATAACACAGATAATCGAAAAAAGGGAAGGTCAGTGTATACTGACCTTCTACCGGGAAGCAAACCAAACGAGAGTGATTTAATAGCCGTTTAAGGATATACTCAAAACCAGTACAACAATCGAACTCAGGACCGGAAAAGAAAACAGTAAAGAGTGAGGAAACCTTGGAACTTACTATTTATTTCTTTCTTTTTTGTATTTCAGATGGTATATAAGTGTGTTAGGTGAAGGAATTAAATGACCCTTTGTATTGTGGCATTCAAGTCTTAGGTTTTTAGATTAGTTCAAACAAGTAGTGGATGATGACGAACGGGTAGATGACGATAGGGAAGGAGTGAAATCAGAAGAGCACAGAGGGAAAATAATGAAGCAGTTTTACCTAGGAATATGAGAATGAAAAATTGACCGTTGATGAGTGATAAACAACAAGTCAAACTCCAACATCTAGAGGTCTCTCTGGACATCGAATAACAATGATGAATCCGTATAAAACCTTCATGCATGATCTGATTTAAAAGACCACAAGAGAAATCAGAAGATTTGAAGTTTCATTTTTGAGTCTAGGGTTTCAGGTTTGGGGATTTTGAATCTCAGTGATGAAAGAAGAAATAAAATGGTAGGATTCGTAAGTATAGGGATAGATTGAGTATTGTGAAGTTTAATTTTGTGACATTGCACATATTTGTGCAAGAATTTAGGACTGATAGAGATTGAAAGGATGAGAGAAAAGAGAGAGTTTAGGGAAAGAGGGGCGGCCAATCTGAGAGGGAATGAATTAGGGTTAGGTGTTTGGTAGGTTTAAGGCGGGTAGGTAAAGGGTAGTAGTTGGATTATTGTGATCAATGAATCCGATATTTTGGAGATAAAATATTTAGTTAAGAAAAGGATGACTGTTGGATTTCTTTTAATCTAACGGCGGAGATAAATCGTTGATGGATATTGAAACAAAAAAGAAAAATTTGGTTTAAGCATGGACCATTGATTATTTGGATCAACAGTCCAGATGAGGTGTGTTTCTTGTGTGAGTGTGGAAGAGGGGTGATGTGGCATGATTTCATTGGCTCATTGGAGATGGTGGATCGTTAAGGTGGAATAGAGGGGTTATTTACAGACCGGGTCAGGTGGGATTGGGCATATGTTTTGAGCTGAAATTGATCTAATAACTAGTCTCATTGTGTTTAATTGGGCATTTATAATTATAGCCTTTTAAGCTTTTAACCCTCTTTAAAGATAGTTTAATTAATTATAATTGAATGTAATAAAAAATATAATCATCAAATACACTATAAATTACTGTAATTAATTAATTATTTATTAAAATACTTTATTTACTAAGTTATAAAACTAATTTCAGATTAATTTAAATAAGGCGAAATAGCCTCGTGGCCATTTAAACTTGCTTTCATTTGCAAAGCCGATACATGAACTTACATTGTTCCCATTTGAACACTCAAACTCGCGTATTTAGTCATTAATAAGCTTATTTGACCGTTGACCATGCATATGTGGCAGTGATAGATATAACATGGACAAAGTGTATGCAAGTCACGTAAATTATGCGTGTGACTACAATTATTTTAATTAAAAAAATCTAAAATCAGAAGAAAAAAATACAAATAAAAAAGAACAAAAATAAGCCCCCCCCCCCCAAATCAGTAATACCCTTATTTCCTTTACCCTTTCGTGTTTCTTTTCCCTTTTTCCAATTGATGTTTCCCTCCCCCTTCTTTTCTTGCTCTCCGGCTCCAATCTTTCCCAGCTTCTTCCTATTTTTGTTCCAAATCCAGGCAGCAACAGTGAAAAACAAAGAAAAGCAATAGATTTTGTCAAAATTTTCTATTAATCCTTTCTCTCACATTAACTTCCTCTATCTTTTTTGTATCCATCTCAAACTGGAAGACATATAGAGAAAAGAAAAAGACCATTCGAAAATTGACGAATTTTGGCTTAAAATTTCTACTTTTCTTTTTCTGATTTCACCATTCGTGTCCTTCTTTGACATAGCTTCGCCGACTCTTTTGTTTCCTTGACAAAATTTTAGTAGGTGGCCTGTTAGACTCTTTTATTTGAGATATGAATTTTTTAGAAGTGAAAGATAGAATGAATTTATGGAAGTTCATGGCTTATTGAGACAGTCAGGTGGTAGGTTGAGATTTTTCCCCCTGATGGAGGCGGTAAAATGTGTAGAAGAAATAGTGGAAAAAGTAAAATAAGAAAATAAATTTTGATAAATTAGTTTTTAAACAAAGGACCCATAGACGACACATGTAAAATAATAAATGGTCTTAGCATTTGACGTGTTCTTCCTGTCAGACAATTGAGTTACACGCTCTGGCGATTAGATTTATTTATACTCAATTGATTGAATTGAGGTGCTAAAATTGGAAAATTCAAAGTTTATATATCGGCTTTAAAATCTCGTACAGGTTTAAGTGGAGATGAAACCATTTCGCCTTTAAATAATAAGTGAATTAATTAAAAATGAAGGAATAATTTGTTAAATTAATTAAAAAAGTTGTGTATCAAAATATAGAAGTTACTTTAATAATTTCAAAATAGTAAGGGTAATAAATTTTCAATACCAAATTATTAATTTAACACTATTAATTACTAATTCCCTATTATATTCATATGAAAATAAGTATTATTGATGTGAAAATAGTCTCACCGCATTTATTGCAAATTATTAAGTATAAATAGATTAATTTAAAAATTGAGGGTCAAAATTAATCGTCAACAACTGCCCCTCTTTGACCGGAGCCGATGAAAGAGTTTTTGGGCAACTAAGACTAATTTTGTCCCGACTTTTGGCATGTATTGTAGGAATGATATATGTCTTTGAGGAAGATTATGAGTTGTAAAATCGGGAAAGATTAGGCAATGATTTAGGGAAAGTGGGGTCAAATTCTGGCTTTGAATCGCCTACATACTTCGGGCTTAACGAGGATCAAGCTCATGTAATTCTGGAATGATGACTTGAGAGGGTGGTGCTTGCAGGAGTTGCCCCAGTATATGTTATGGCGATACTGCAAGGCGAGAAGGCCTTGGAACCTAGAATGACTTCACAGGCGATTTGGAGTTCTGCTGATCGGATTTGAGTTGGAGTTTGGATCCTGGGCTTGCTTATGTGTTTGTTGTCCTCATAGCATTATAACTTGTTTTGATGCCTAGAAAAAGTTCCACGTCGTGATGTATGATCCTGCAAAAGAAGATACATGCATACCCATATATCGTAATGCAAATATGTTAAAATATGATGTAAATGATGCAAAAATGATAATGTCTGGCTGTTGACTACCCGTTATTTAGGTTCAAGGCAACATAATATTTTGAATTTGTAGTCTTCAAGCTCTGGACCATTATTTGGGATGCTAGAGATGGGCCTTTGAATTTGACTTGATTATTAGCTGGGATATGTACTATTCTATAGCTGTCGGAGCATTAAGTCTCCATGCGATGAGAGTATCTCCACACGATGGAAGTAGTTGATGTCACGCCCTGAACCTGGGGGGGAGGGGGGAGGGGTCGAGACTGGCACCCAGTGCCATACTCGGCCCGAGTGTACCACTTTGTAACTTTGAACTCTGGAGGGGTAACCCTCAACTTAGGACGATAAGGCCATATTCTGAATTGTCTAAAAATAACGTCTCTCTCATATGTGGTGTAAACATACGCAAAAACTGATATATATAATTGTGCAAGCCGACGAAGCCGCCATGAACATCTACTGATATTCAAACTATACAAGACTAGTCTACAAGCCTCTAGAGATAACTGAACTGTACCATCATCGGGACAGGTCCTCGACCTACCCATCAAACTTATATATATAAAAAGGACTCCAAGGTCTAGACCTGATAACTCCGAGGAAGTGGGGCTTACCAACCAAGTTGATGTTTGGCTCTGTCTACTGGGAGGATCTGTCCAACTACCAATCAGGACCTATAGGCATGAAATGCAGCGTCCCCGACAAAAGGAACGTCAATAAGAAATAATGTATCGAGTATGTAAGGCAACAAAATAGCTGAAAGCTAAAACTGAACTGATAATATATTAACTGAAAGTAACTAAGAGTCAAAGATAATATGAAGATATGTTTACCTGCTGATACTGACTCAAATCTCTCAATATAGTTGTCAAGACCCAAATTTCCCACCATCGGGTGTCGTGATGGCGCCGACTATCGGAGCTAGGCAAGCCAAATATTTAAAACACCTTTCCTGCTTTCTTTCAAACAATATAATAAACGAGACNAAGTGGACGGCGTGCCACACGATCCCATAATATAATTCAAAACATCTGATTTTGTAAGGAGAGTCCAATTAGGGGAAATCAACAACATATCACTCTAACCCGACAAGGGTACAACTAACAGCCCAAAAATATCCCGACAAGAGAGTATATATATCGGTCTACACATCCCGACAAGGGAGTAATCACAACACATTCTCTTTTTAAATCCCTTCTTCCTCAACTAACACATTCATGTTTGAGCTAACGCTCCAAAAGTACACCAATCACAATTTTACCTCAACCGTTCACATTATATGAAACTCATCAAATAAACAAGGAG